ATGATAATTATAATGAATCTATTAGTTTCGCTAGACTCTTAAACTATATTATAATAAATAGGATTTAAGTATCTATCGAAAATAATAGTATAGTTCAATATAGTAGAATGGTGGAAGTTTCTAGAGTCATATTTGTTCTATTTGTCCGATTTGTTCAGGACAAACAATGCCAATCTGTAATACAAGAAATATTCTTGAAGATCTGGGACCCAGGTGATAAATTAGACTTGTTAACTGGATAATTGATACTGAGATTGTTACAAGGCTTCAGGATCTACATAGGACAAATTTCTTATGGTTTACAATAGGTATTAGTAATAGAAATTTAGTTCAATCAAATACTTTCAAATAATAAGTTATCTGATAAATATATTAAAGATTGGGTTTTAAATAGTTTAGTAATATAAATAAGATACAGCTCTATATAATAATCTTTGTAATTTCCATATTAATTTATATATTACTTTATCAAATTCAATAATAGGACTGAGCTTCTATTTAAAAAAATAAAAGATTATTATATATTATTATTTTTCAATTAATTTTATTTGTAATTTATTTAATTTAGTAAAAAAAAATTTTTATTTTTTATAGAAATTATATATTTCTAAAAACTTATAAACAAGAAATTATTGAGATTAGTTTAAATTAAAAAAAAAATTTATAAAAATAAAATTTTTATTATTAATTTAAATTATTAATTTAATTAAATTTAAATTTAAATATATTATTATAAAAATTGTATATTTATGAAAATTGATAAAACTATTAAACATATTAATACTTTTTATATAAAATTTTAAACAAATATTAATTTTTTTATTATCACTATTGAATTTAAAAAAGATTTGTTTAATGTTATTTATTTTTTTTAAGTTAATATTAAATTAAAATATTTTATATTAAATAGTTTTGAATTTTTAAGATTATTAAAACAAATAATTAATATATATTCAAATAATTATTATAATTTTAAAGTTTAAGTTTTAAAATATATTAATATAATAACAAATAATAAAATATTTTAATGAATTAAATTAAAAGCTTTTTTATTTAAATTATAGATTTTAATTCTTAATTAATAAAAAGTTAAAAAGCTCTATTTTTGCATAATCTAATTATATTTAAATAATTGAATATAACTTTATAAAATTTTAAATAAATTTAATTAGAAAGATATTTTTATAACTCAATATAATATTGAATTTAAAATCTTATCACTAATAATATAAAAAATTACTATTAAATTATAAATTTATTAATTGTAAAGGATATTATAAATGATAATTTAATAAATACTATAAAAAATAAATTAAAAAAAATTAAGTTTTTAAATAATTTAAAAAGAAAAAAACATTATAAATAAATATTATTTATTAAAAAAAGTATATGTTCGTATATCAATAAATTAATTATAAATATATTTTTATTTTAATTTATATAATTTGGTAGTTTGATAAAATAATTAATAATATATTTATTAACTATACTATATAAATTATAAAACTTTATTTAAGGCTTGTTTTATAAAATAATAATTCATTTTCAAATTCAAATTTAAATATTTTTACAAAAATTTTTTGGTTACAATAAGTTTATTAAATATAATTAGTAATCTGATTATAAAATATTTCACATTGTTTAAATAATTATCTTTTATATAATTATTTAATTGATAATTGATTATTTAATTTGATTTGAGTCATTTTTTTAAAAAAGCAACAATAAATTAATTTAATATATTTAATATATTAGATATATTACTAAGTTAATAATTGGTTACTATATATTAAACAAATATATTTTAAAATTTTGTCTTATCAATTGAATATTTAGTTAATAATTATAATTTAATGGTTAAATATTTCTTTAAGTAAATATAATGATTGACAAAAATAAATATATAAATAATATTATACAGTGCATCGATAATATCAATAATATTAACAAGTAAATATTTTGGTAATTACTAATGTATTAAATTTTTAATATTATTCACATACAGTATCTATTGAAACCTTGCGAGTCAAAATTCTGAAATACTTTGTATAATCTCCTGACAAAAACTTTTCCAATTGAATAAATACATATTTAGCATATCAAATAAATTAAACGTGTATTACATCTTATTTAGTATATAGAGTAGTTATCAGTATACTATATATGTATATGTAGATAACGTTCTAATTTAATTTAGATTACTTATATTACTAAACACATATTTGTAAATTGTTTGGATGGCACAAAATACTTTGAAAAACCACCCCAAATGTAATGATATACCGTATTGCAGGTATGATTAAAGAAATAATTATGGAGTAAATGAACTTGCAAAACATAAACGAATTCTTGTCTCGCGTTACAATTTTATCGTATCTATGTAACACGATACGCCACATGATTGAAAGGGCTGATTGAACCTAAATAAGGAATGTGTGAATTTTTTTTAAAACTTGCTATACAGTACTTATTAAAAGTTAGATGTCATTGTAGACATATATGGAAATTAGTCAACAACCTTAAATATTATCTCATTTGTTTCTTTAGTTGCAAGTAACGTAAATCTTCCGGATTATAATACTTTTCTTGAGGAATGGATAAAAGACCATTAGCTGAACTCCTCGAAGAACTCACAGAATCCAAGGATGGCCACAAACAGATTAAGAGTGAGCTAATTGAACGGTGTCTCAAAGCGCCAAGGTCAGAAATACGAGGATTTTTCAAGGAACTATCTCAATTGCTGCGTAATTCTCCTGGTGTCTGTCTACCGACTTTGCAAGCTTTCTCCTTCTATATCCAAGATGAATATTCACGAACTATTCGACGCCCTAACCTGATACCCAAATTCATTGATTTTATCTCAACATTAATAACCTCCGTCATTATGCAGAATCTACATCAATGTGATAATCCCGAGTTTGGAGAGTTCCTTAACGATTGCACCGAGCTTCTTTGGCGTGCTCAAAATGATAAACCTGGAAATAAAGAAAATGAATTGTTGCAGCAAATGAAGCATATGTTTAATTCAATCATGGATGCGGATGGAATTTTTGGAGTTCTAATATCAAAAGCTCCTGGCCGACGTTGTATAAGGCGCGTACTATTTGATTTTAATGCGATAAAACAAATCGAACCGGAAAAACTGTTAAAAGCAGGAGATACGATCGTGACTCTTGTTGAAGGATGTCATGAACATGATGAGATTTCACTCAAGTTATCAGAGGAATTGGCTGTCTACAAAGCCTGCACGGATTTATTGGAAACTCTGCAAATCCGACAAAGTGCGAATAAGAATGCCACAAACTTCCGAAAGAATTCCTTACCACCTGATATACACGAGATGGTCTTGCTTGACAATGAAGCAAATGAAACTCAACATCCGAGTAGAAAACGAGCCTTCAGCACTTCTACGGTTGATTTTAACAATTTTGTCTTCTCATCCATCCAAGATAAAAAAAATCTTACATTGTTGAGGATGGAAGCGCCTAAAAAGCCTTCAGAATTGCATAATTTTTTTAGAATCCTTGAACAAAAGAAGATAGATTCACTCAAAGTATGTTTGATCTACTGCACCTTCCGCATTATATGAAACATTGAAAAACATAAAACTCTTCTCTATAAATATATTAATAAACTTTCATCTCATCCAGGGTTTGATTGGATTCTTTCCATGTTCTAGTTGTCACAAAAGAGCGCTTATTGGCTTTGCACCAGATAAATATTCTTTGCCTGTGGAGGAAACTGAGTCTTCAGTGCCAAGACGAATTTTCCGTCTTCCATTCGAGTTTGACGAAAATGACAAACTTGGGCCATGGGATATTTTACTCAGCGAAGATACAATTAAAGACATGCGGAAGCTAAAAAAATCTCCTCATTTAGTTGATGCTGTCATGAAAAAGCTCGGTCAGATATCGTCTGGGAAATGGGAAAAGTATGGTCTGCAGCGTAAGGCATCATCTTCTAATGTTCCTGATATTCCTGTTTATGAGGTAGAACTTCCTGAATACGGAGGCCTGAAGATCCTCTGGCAAGTTGACTACGGTTTCTCCATTCGTAGCTATTCGAACATGCAACTTGTAAAAATTTGGGCTGTCACTGACATCAAAGAACAGATTCGTGAAACGTTAGAAAATCTCGCAATGGTTCATAAAGTCTATACTGTGGAACATAATCGCCTTTGTATAACATCGAAGAAGATTAATGGTGTTGTTTCACCAAGATACCTAAATAATGAAGAGAGCGCAAAATCCACCGACAAGGAGCTTCCCAGTCCCAATATAGATGATGAAAAACTAGTAGAAGTTCATCGAATGCTTGTAACAAATAAATTTGTCCCTCTGTCAAAGGTAGGTAAACGTAAAATTGGGTGAATGTCATACTTATATATAAAATAATCGCCTAAATTTAAACTTGCTCGTAGAATCTTTTCAAATCACTTGTCTTTGGCGGGTTTGACTTCACCTTCCAGGTATCCAAGGTTGAGTATGATATAATCAACAATCCGACGTCGGCGATTGTCATCGGTCGGTCGGGTTAGTAGCTAAAATTAAATGATTATAACTTTTGAAAATTTTTGACGTCGTGTCAATAAATTTTGATAATTAGGGACCGGAAAGACAACTTGCATAGTATTTAGGCAAATTGCTTCTTACCTGACTAACAAACCATACAAGACAATATCGTCTCAAGGAAGTTCATACAAAAGGCAAATATTTATCACAGTAAGTTACAACTTATGCCGCCGGGTAAAGGATTATTTCTATCGGTTACGGGAGTCAGCAGTTCTTGCCGAGAAACCAATACCGATGGACGAGCTTAACGAGTACATGAGGAGGAAGGAAGAAGAGGATAGCGGCATCGATATAGCAGATGACATTATGATTGAGGAAGATGATGAAAACATGGAGTTTGGAAATATTCCGAATTCGTTCCATTTATTAGAGGATCATCACTTTCCACTGTTTATAACATACAATAAGTTTTCTGAGATGCTCCAGGGGACGTATGATATCGACGTTCGAACAATAACCAAACGACAAAATCCTGATGAAAACGGAGACGACGACGAGCATAACGACGAAGGATTAAACCCTAGTTGCTCCTTTATAAATGAATCCAATGCGTCCTGGGCTCATTTCGTCGATTACGATCTCTTTAAAAAAAGATACTGGCGTCATTTCGGAGATAATTATCGGAACAAAATGGATTGCGAACTAGTCTACTCTGAGTTCTCGGTTATTAAGGTATGTAAATATATAATTGAATTGTTAATAGCAATACATATATACAGTATATATATTAGTTTTCTAATAAAGAGCATATACACTCGTGAAGGGCACGAATCCTGAAGTGGAGTATCTCTCGCGGGATGAATATCGAGCAATAAGTACCAGGAAGTACCCAGCATTCTGCAGCAGGCGTGACGAGATTTATGATTTATTTGAACGATATGGGAAGATGAAGGCACGGAATGGTGACTATGACTCGGCAGATCGGTAAGATCAGATGTGTTGCTTTCGTTAGGAAAAAAAAAATTTTTTTTTTTTTTTCTATTAATCATAATTCTCACTTTGTAGAACGTTGGCCGTCTTACGCGCAGCAAAAACGAAACCATTTGGCGGTCCACACATTCATGAACTATATATTGACGAGTGTCAGGATAACCAAATCATAGATTTTTCACTTATATTGAAGCTTTTTAATAGGGTAGATAGTGTGATTATGGCGGGTGATATAGCGCAGTGCATTGCAAGAGGCTCTTCTTTTCGGTTTCAAGGTAAATTATAAGATACTTTTAGGGATAGCAAATAAACTCTTACCATGTTTCTCTGACCCTTTCTTTATTACAGATCTACGTGCCTTGATGCATAAATGGGAGGTTGATCATCATATGTATAATGGCATAAAATCACAAATGTTTGAGCTAAACACTAACTACCGTTCTCATGACGGAATCCTTAAACTTGCCTCGTCGGTGATTGACCTCATCCGGCACTTTTTTCCTGATTCCATTGATCATCTGTCACGGGAACGCGGCGAGGTTGGTGGACCACGACCCAACATATGCGCAGGAATTCAGGTTGAAACGTTTCTATTAAATGTTTTTCGTGCGGGCGATCCTGCGTCCAATTGCATCGAATTTGGCGCCGAGCAAGTCGTCATCGTACGCAACGATAAAGATAAAGAACGTGTGAGAAGCCTAAACAAAAATATAGGATTGGTAATGACAGTGTTTGAGGCCAAAGGCATGGAGTTTAGTGATGTGTTGTTGTACAATTTCTTTAAAAACTCGCCTGCAGATTTAAAGGTATAATTTTGCGCTTTCTTGGGACTATCAGGTTATCTTTATTGATTACATTGATGCTTCAAATTTAGTGGCGAGTTATTCTCTCGTGTTTGGAAGGTTATGATAAAGGGATAAAGGCTTTTTCTCACGAAAAACATTACATCCTTTCTTCGGAACTCAAAAACCTTTATGTCGCACTGACCAGAGCCCGACAAAGTCTCTGGATTTTCGATGAAAATTCCGAGTGCAGCTGGCCAATTTTGAGATATTGGGAGCATCATGGCCTAGTCAATGTGGTTAATAATATTGAAGAAATCACCGCGCTTCCTACTTTGGCTAAGAAAAGCGATTCACAGGAGTGGGATCGGCAGGGAAAAACATTTTTCGAACGGCATCAATACGAACTGGTAAGGATAATCTTTTTCTGCAAAATATTTGACATCATCTAATATTGAGCTTTGATGAATAATAAAAAATAAAAAAACAATGAATAAATGAAATTGCATCAGGCCAAGTTCTGCTTCGGAAAGAGCGGAAATGAAGATCGCCAGAAATTAGCCCATGCGTACCATCTTCAACAACTCGCGAGAATATCCGTAAACGATTCAGACGAAGCGACCATAAAATCTAATTTCGTCCAGGCAGCTCGTGCCTTCAGCGAATGTTCACGGCCGAAACAGGAAGCTTCGTGCTATCAGGTAAAAAATTTGTCATTACCAGATCAATTGTTTACGCGGGCGCCGTAGGTTCATTTCTGTCCTTACTTACGTGAGTATATAACTGAACTAGGATGTCGGCATGCATGAAGAAGCAGGCGATGTTTATGTTAAATGGGAAATGTTTGAACTCGCGGCAGGTTGTTACACCAAGGCCAAGAATTGGCGCAAGACTGGTGATTGTTTCGCAAAAGCGAAAATGTACGACGAAGCTGTTGTTGCATATAAAGATGGTAGGCTATATAAAATCGCAATAGATTTTATGGAGAGGTAAATCAGTTTCTTTATTATCAAATGAAATCTACCGTGCGCTTTGTTTTTGAAACTGATGTCAAAATATTTTTATGAAGGCATAAAGGAGATGTTACCGAAAAAATATTCCGCCGCGTTATCCGTCTCATCTACATAAACTGCATGAACAATGACAAGGAGGTTAGCAAGAAAGCTCTTTCTATGCTTCCAACCGCCGAGGATCAAATTGAAATCTTAAGAGATCATGCGCCAGAAGAAGTTCCAGAAGTCTATAAAAAGAGTGGCCAATTTCGTGACGCTGCAAAAGACCTATGCTTACGTGGGAAATTCGAAGAAGCTTCTAATGTATTACTCAACCATTCAGTCGAGGACGAAGATATTATCGAGTCATTACAGTGTATTCTGCATTTATGTCGATCTAGGATGCTGAAAAATATTATTGAGGGTAATGTGAGCCTGAATACTAAAGAGGAACTTCAAAGGTTTCTCTCTAAGGCAAACGACATCACCACAACGGCAAAGTCGCAATCAGTAAGGAAATCCATTAAGTGGAAGATTCTAATGGAAGAATTTCAATTATATCTATCCTATTTACACGACGACCTTGATGCATTTTGCAAAGGAATCAAGTTTTTCCAGAAGCAAGAGGAGTCTGCGATAGAATTTCGCGCAGTATATCTATGGTTGCTAATTTCTGCGCGGTCTGATATAAACGCAGATTACTGGAGTGAAAGATTGCAATTTCTTTTGAGATTGTGTGAACTGGCCTTTCCGTTTATAGCTCCACTTCGAAATGCAAAAAACATCGACAAAGTCCGCGAGAATTTTGAGGACATTTTCCTTATAAAAAAGGTGGAAGATCGTCCGAATAAACGACAAATTTCATCTGATAACCCACTTATCAGTTTTATCAATGATGTTAATTCAACGGAGACTGTCATGGACTATTGGCATATTCACGACGTGAATGTTGTGTATCGGGTAATCACGCACTTTCTTGTTCATCGCATACGTGAGTTCATCACTAAAGCTAACTACGATGGCAGAAAGATTCCGGACATAGCTTCAGAAATATGTAAACATGAAAAGTGCCAGACTCAAGATTGCCGAAGGCATCACGTGAAACCAACAAAATTAACTCTTAAAAAACGTTTGAGACTTGCTTGCCTCCAATATACAGTAATGCGAAGGTCAATCATATTGAGATTTAGTCGCTTACTCAGTGTGGAACAGATCAATGAATGTTTTAGTCAACAAAGATTTTGGGCAGAAAGACTAGTAGGAATTCATTTTCGCTATCAATCCCCGCACACAAGCTGTCCGGATGTCACTCACATGGTGATCAATGAACTTCCTGACCACGCGTACAACGGGCTTATCGACCTTTCTTATAAAAAGTGGTTGGGTGACGAGTTCAATGTTAAGGACTTTGCGATCATGTTAAAATTTATTTTTGTTTCTATGCAATTGCAAAATACATGGGGCATCGAGAATTTCAATTGGAAAATATCGGAATATAGACTCTCTCGGTTTAATACTCTTTTATTGGGTTATGAATTCAATTATGGAAGTTACAAAGCGGTCGGAGGACGTCTTTCATTATTCCTTTTGTCTCTTAAATCCAATGATGTGATCGCTGCTGTTATGCATGCAAAGAAATTTATTCGTTATGCCGTAGATAATTTACATGATGTTAATTTAGACTCAAGTGACTCTCTTGGCGACCTCGTGTCTCTTATGGAGTTCACGACGTGTTTAATTTTTTCTGCCCGCCTCGGATATTTCGATTTTATCCTTCCACGAAGTTATTTAATTAACTATTTCTATGTGTTCAATGCGGAACCACTCCTTCCAGGTCAACATTACTCCGATAAATACAAGTATCTTGGTGAAATTAAGGGTTCATTCCATCAAATTAGAATTCTTCTCGACATATTGGTTCGTAGTCAATATTATCATTCAGCGGTTATTCTTCGACTGATAAGACTTTTGATCCTTGTTGGACTAAATCAATCGGAACTTGCACGGTCGATGATCCTGAATCTTCTTGGTGATTTATCCACTAAATTTTATAATGCGGAGTTCAAGAAATACTTAGAAAAGAATAGCATGGCATCACTTGTGGAAATTCTGAACAACGATATCAAGAAGACAGGTTGTGATTCTCTTCTTATGGTCTATTATGACTCGGGAGCAAAGTCGAGATTTTTTGAATGGGAGAAGAAAATTGGTATAACAAAACTGTCATATAACTCGATCGAAGTATTCCGTTCTTCACTTAAAGATATTATGACATCAGAGGATACTGAAGAAAGTGCCGGGGTTGTTACTATAGACAAACAACTCTCGTCACGGTTATCCGAAGGGAGTGAACAGAATCTCTCCACAATGGATATCACTTTTATTGACGATGGCGCTGATGGTGGTACAGACTATAACGAAGCTGATGAAATCTCCGAAGAGGCCCATGAACCGACCACGGAAATCCAATCTTGGTTCCATCAAATTCATGAATCCCCCCAAGCCCAAGAAGCCGCCAGAAAAATCCAATATTGGTTCCATAAAATCCAGAATCGAGAGAAAGATGCAATTTATGACGACGTTTTAAAATTCTGTCAATTTATGTTGAGAGAGAAGGGAAAAAGTGCAGTGTATAAGTATAACATACGATTGAGAGTTCCTATGGTGGATATGATTGTGAAGCTAATTAGGTTGCAGGAAAGAATGGATAAAATCAAGGTTCGATTAGATAAATCAGTCAAAAAATTTGATTCCGATAGCGATGAGTATGAAATTTGTTTGGATTTGAGGGAAGAGCTAAGGTTTGTATTGATTTTTATATTCTTTCTTTATAAAACATTCAAGCTTACCGTTTTTTTTTTTTTAAGAAACACACATTACGAGAATGTTAAGACGGCTTTGAATTCTTTATCAGTGACTGAAAATTTGGAAAGACACAAGGAGGCGAATATTGAATGGTTGGAGGCCGAATTGGAAAAGGCGGATGGCATCATCGAGCAGGTTCACAAATGGATTAATAGATGCAGTGAAGTTATAAAATTATAAATTCTGCGTTCGCTCAAATTTAAGAGCTTATCATAAATACCAGGAATTTTGATGTTTTTGTTGCCTTTTTTAATGATACATTATACTGTTTGCTTTCGAAATGACTTGCATGTTTCGTTTACCGGGTATGCATCCAAACTCATTACCTATACCTATCAAAATAATTATCAGTGCATGGGATAAATACGTAAATTGTTGATTGTAAATATAATACTAGAATAAACGAATTGCTACTGTACTTGAGATTGAACTGAATAATTACATTTTTTATTAATATTGCAAAAGAACATACTGTATCATTAAATTATACTAGTTATTGAATAGCTTTTTATTAGTAAAATTCTAATTGGATTTTTGGATCATTATTTAACCTGCTTATTATTATAAATTTTTGTTACCACTTGTATATAGTATTTATAAATTTTTTAAACTATAAAAAATAACTTTAAACTCAATTTGCAATTTGTCAAATTAGATTTTTAATATATTGAAAAAAACTTTTCTTTTTTGTAATTTGTTAAATTGAATTTTTAATATATTAATAAAATCTTTTTTTTCTGATTTTTATCATTTAATGTATTTCTATTTATCCAAAACCAAAACTTAAATTGCCTTCTTTTCTCATTCCTATGTAAAATAGCATTAGAACAGTATGGAAAAAAAATGGAATGTACTCGTAAACACAAAGATTTTAATATATGGCTCAACTATAATGACAATTAATTGGTCAAAGAAATACTATTCTTATAAGAAAGGTAATTTAAATAAAGAAACCAGTAATATTTAAATAACAGATAATATAAAAATTAAAGAAAAATACTAGAATAAAAAAAAAAAAATACAAAAACAAAAAGAAAATATAAAACAATATAACACAATTTACTAACATTGAATTTTGAAATAATAAAAACTTTGAAAATAATATAATACAAATTTATATATTATATATTCTCAATTCTATAGATATACATTTAAAAATAAAGGTAATATCACTAATAAAAATAGTATAATTAGATACTAGAATATTATATACAAATAATACAAAAAAGATAAGAATATAAATTTAATAAATTTATTATAATAATAAAAGTTTCTAAGTTTAATTTTGAAAATATTATCAAAAAACTCGTTCTGCTGATTCTCTAATCACACACAAAAAAAATGTTCACAAGAAATTTTTATATTTCCTTGCTAATAAAGTCTTATTACTTTCTTTAAACCAACTCAAAAAATTCTTTCAGAACTCTCTCACTTCCCTCCCTCTTGCTTACAACCTCCTTTGAACAAACTGAACTTTTGTGATCTGCAAAGTTCAGCTTCTACCTTTACTACCGATGGCAAGAAAGTTCCTAAAGGAAAAAGGATCAACAGTGAAGTACTGTCTATCTTTTAGTCATGGTGAAGATAACAGAAATTTTGTTCTAGTTAAAGGACTTATTTTTTCTATTTTTTAACTGGTCTGTAGTCTCTCAGAACTATCTTTTTCATGACTTTCTGGAGAATTTTACCTACCCTTACTTGACCCTGAAATTTTGGGTAGCACAGACCTCACTGATTCTGATTGACTGATATGAAATACATTGGACAAAATTGATAAACAAGCTCCTATTGATTATCTCACATATCTGAATGCATTTCCTCAAATCCATAAGAATCTGAAGTTAAAAATGGGTTCTTAAAAGAGGAAATAGAGACAAAAGTCAAATATTCTTCACTAAGAAAGATTAAAATTTTTCAATTAATAACTATTTAAAAACTACCTACAATTGTTTTCTATTATCCAAATCTACTAATTTATGACATTTCCTGATTTTTGTCTCTATTAAAGTGAAAAGCTATGAATTTTTCTCTCAAAAAGAGACATAAGTGATCTGTGAAATTTTATATGCTAAATACTTTAAGAACCCATCATTACCTGAGGTCTACTATAATCATATGTGATAATATAGGTGGATACAAGACACAGTATTGACATATTATTGAATATAAGACAGGATCTATTTGATAATAGCAAAGGTCACAAGATGCTCGATTGATCTTTTTTCAAGTCAAAGATACCTATATCCTGATTATATATTAGGTAAGTTTTAACCTCTACTACTTGGAAAGTCTAAATCAGAGAAAGCATGGAGCCATTAAAAATACTTAGTATTAAAGCTCATACACAAAGTAACCTAGAAAGTTTTCATTTTATCTTCAAAAAATTCTGAACTGGAAGACTGGAAGGTTAATACCATTACATCTATCGAAACTCAAGTTCAAAAATGTTAACAATAATATGTAAACTAGTCAAAATGTCTGAAAGATCCTTGTTAATTATTAGTACTAACAGCCACCAACAGGATATGTCAACCACAAGGCTAGGTGCTATTTTTCATATAAGGAATTAAATCTGAAATAAGATGCACAAATGAGTAAGTATACCCATATTTAGATAGAAATGGGTTTCATTGATAATATACTGGAAGACTTTCAAGTCAATTATGCAGACACCAATATACCATTTAGGCCTTTCTGGCTACTCCTTCTCTATAAATCTTAAAACTGTATAGCTCTCCTTTGACCTTTACCTTATCTTCATAAGACTCAGTAGAAATTTTTCCTTAGACCTTCCTATAAGAGAAATTAGATCAAGATAAGCATATGCCAAGAAACAAAACCAATACATTTCACATAACTGTTCAATTTTTCTTTTATTTCTTTTATTTTTATTTATAATACCAGTATATTCTAGGGATAATAGTTTTTCTTTGGAAAAAGAAAAAGCAATAAGCCTTGAAGTAGCTTTAGAATAAC